TGATGGGGGCCCATGGGGGTGTCTGACGGTGTAACCAGATGGAACGGGTGATGGGGGCCATGGAGGTGTCTGACGGTGTAGCTGGGAAGCCTTGGTTCATTCATGGTCACCATGATGGGCCAACGTCTATGGAGCTTCCATATGTGGGGCTGTTGTCTTGTCGCGTCTACTGGTCATCTCATGACCTTGGTGGCTAAACCCAGCTGGAGAACTATGGGGGGTGGGAAGAGCCCGATCCATACTCTGTCCAGGATGGAGGAAGTATCTTTGGGAAGATTTGGCAGAGCTGACCCCCCTCTGCTGGAGATCCGGTCCTTTTATGTGTCCTGGTGACCATTGTGGTAAATTTGGAGCTGTCATGAGAACCAGAGCTGATGGGAAACCCTCTAATGTGGCCAAATGCTCAACTTTCCTTTATCCTGTTGGGTCTTCAAGACAGGAAGTGAAGGAAAATCTCCCGGGCAGGACATAGGCGGGATTAAATAACCGGATGGGGGGATTAACCCTCCCCCGCCAAACCTAGAAAGCTATGGCGCTACGTGCAGACTATATTGCTGGGCACCCACGAGTTGGGCCGTTGCCGTAGATGGGGCGATTCCTCCTGCCGGGCTGTTGTGTTCTGGCAACGGCTGATTGGACATTTGAAACATCTACATACGTGTCTCTAGGACAGGAAGTGAAGGGAAATCTCCCCCAATGGCACACCGAGTGGCCCCTATAGGTAAAGCTCTACCTTGTCATGTACAATGTCCCTTCAGATTAGAGTTCTTGTTCTACGTGTCCGGCTGATGAGATCTCATTCCCGAGGGGGTCACCCCCATAGCCGCCTCCCTTGTACTATATAAAGGCCTTGCTGAATTGGCGGCCGGGGGGGGGGGGGAGGGGTGCCCAGGCTTGCTTTGTGAAGCGTTACCGTTCCCGGGCAGGACATAGGCGGGATTAAATAACCGGATGGGGGGATTAACCCTCCCCCGCCAAACCTAGAAAGCTATGGCGCTACGTGCAGACTATATTGCTGGGCACCCACGAGTTGGGCCGTTGCCGTAGATGGGGCGATTCCTCCTGCCGGGCTGTTGTGTTCTGGCAACGGCTGATTGGACATTTGAAACATCTACATACGTGTCTCTAGGACAGGAAGTGAAGGGAAATCTCCCCCAATGGCACACCGAGTGGCCCCTATAGGTAAAGCTCTACCTTGTCATGTACAATGTCCCTTCAGATTAGAGTTCTTGTTCTACGTGTCCGGCTGATGAGATCTCATTCCCGAGGGGGTCACCCCCATAGCCGCCTCCCTTGTACTATATAAAGGCCTTGCTGAATTGGCGGCCGGGGGGGGGAGGGAGGGGTGCCCAGGCTTGCTTTGTGAAGCGTTACCGTGAGGCCCGTCAGCCCGTATCTCTCCAGCGTCATTCATCTTTTCACTTCACAGTCCACTTCCTTCCCCGAAGAGTCCAAAAATAGCAAACCGCTAATCCCCGGGCTAAATTTAGAGTCGGCCTCCTGAAGATGCTGCCGGGAGCTGATAGGCCGCGCTTTGCCGTCCGTGACTCTGCAACGCGTTTCGATCATGGAGGCGACGCTCCTGATATCATTCGGGTCAGATGGTGCGCGTGCCGGGCCGGCGGATGGCGGTCATGTGGTGATGTGCCCTTTGAAGGAGCTTAAGTACATATGACTGGGATAGGCAACCCTGAGCCCCTTCAGCTGTACAGCTCCCAGCATGCCCCGGGGACGGCGGGTTCATCTAATGACTGGAAAGACGACCCCCGACCCGAGACTCGGCCTGGAACATGCACATGTGAAAGGTTAGCTTCCAACTCTCACTGTGTCTGAGAGAAGCCGCAACAGGACTACAGGACACCTTCCCCCTCTCCATAACATAGAGGCACATGGCTGAAAACAATGTCAGCACAGGAAGCTTAAAGGCGGAAACAAAGCCCACCGGAGGGTGCAGATAAAACCCGATCAGGGGATTTCACCGGGACCCAAGAGGGACCAGGTCATGCCAACAGACGCTGAGACCTTCTCACTAGGTCACCAGCAGTCGGAAAGGACACAAGTCAAGATGGATTCTATGAGGTGGACACGGAGGGGGTGGGGGGGGACTGAATGGGACAAAAACTACAAAGTTGTCCCAAGCTGGTTCAGGAGGTGGACTGGAATTGTATGCTGGGTGGGGGGTGACATGTCAGGGCTGGGCCCCTTCTTCATACATGTCAGTATTGCGGAGGCACTTCACCGCCCAGCATACAACTATGTATAGCCCTA